ACACACACACACACACACACATACACACCACATCATACACACCACACATACATACCACATCTTCTTTATCCATTCATCCATCAATGGACATTTGGGCTCTTTCCATCCTTTGGCTATTGTTGATAGTGCTGCTATAAAAATTGGTGTGCATGTGCCCCTTTGAAACAGCACACCTGTATCCCTTGGATAAATACCTAGTAGTGCAGTTGCTGGGTCATAGGGTACTTCTATTTTTAATTTCTTTAGAAACCTCCATACTGTTTTCCAGAGGGGCTGCACCAGTTTGCCTTCCCACCAGCAGTGCAAAAGAGATCCTCTTTCTCTGCATCCTCACCAATAACTGTTGTTGCCTGAGTTGTTAATGTTACCCATTCTGACAGGTGTGAGGTGGTATCTCATTGTGGTTTGGTTTGTATTTCCTGGATGATGAGTGATGTTGAGCATTTTTTCATGTGTCGGTTGGCCATCTGGATGTCTTCTTTGGAGAAGTGTCTATTCATGTCTTTTGCCCATGTCTTCACTGGATTGTTTTTTGGGTATTGAGTTTGGTAAGTTCTTTATAGATTTTGGATACTAACCCTTGATCTGATGTCATTTGCAAATATCTTCTCCCATTCCTTCGGTTGCCTTTTAGTTTTGCTGATTGTTTCCTTTGCTGTGCAGAAGATTTTTATCTTGATGAGGTCCCAATAGTTCATTTTTGCTTTGGTTTTCCTTGCCTCTGGAGATGTGTTGAGTAAGAAGTTGCTGCAGCTTAGGTCATCGAGGTTTTTGCCTGTTCTCTAGGATTTTGATGGCTTCCTGTCTTAAGTTTAGGTCTTTAATTCATTTTGAGTTTTTTTTGTGTATGGTGTAAGAAAGTGGTCCAGGTTCATTCTTCTGCATGTTGCTGTCCAGTTTTCCCAGCACCACTTGCTGAAGAGACTGTCTTTATTCCATTGGATATTCTTTCCTGCTTTGTCAAAGATTAGTTGGCCATACGTTTGTGGGTCCATTTTTGGGTTCTCTGTTCTGTTCTATTGACCTGAGTGTCTGTTTTTGTGCCAGTACCATACTGTCTTGATGATTACAGCCTTGTAATACATCTTGAAGTCTGGGATTGTGATGCCTCCAGCTTTGGTTATCTCTCTCTCTCTCTCTCTTTCTTTCTTTCTTTCTTTCTTTCTTTGTTTTTAATTAATATAATTTATTGTCAAATTGGCTTCCATACAACACCCAGTGCTCATCCCAACAAGTGCCCTCCTCAATGCCCATCACCCACTTTCCCGTCACCCCCACCCCCCATCAACCCTCGGTTTGTTCTCTGTATTTAAGGGTCTCTTATGGTTTGCCTCCCTCTCTCTCTGTTTGTAACTATTTTTCCCCCTCCCTTCCCCCGTGGTCATCTGTTAAGTTTCTCAAGATCCACATATGAGTGAAAACATATAATATCTGTCTTTCTCTGACTGACTTATTTCACTTAGCATAATACCCTCCAGTTCCATCCATCCTGCTGCAAATGGCAGGATCTCATTCTTTCTCATTGCCAAGTAGTATTCCATTGTATATATCATTTGGTTTTCTTTTTCAAGATTGCTTTGGCTATTCGGGGTCTACTCTGGTTCCATACAAATTTTAAGATTGTTTGTTCTAGCTCTGTGAAGAATGCTGGTGTTATTTTGATAGGGATTGCAACAAGTTTTTATTATATTACTTATGTTCCTAGCACTGTTCTCAGTTTCAGTTGTAGTGATGGGCAAAACCAACTTGACTACTACCTTGAAAGATCTTAAAAACTGTGGGGCATAGAAGGGAAAGATAAACCTTAAACAGATAATCACACAAATAAATATATAACTGAATTTTGATAAAAGCTGTGAATATGTTTCATGTCATGAAGGGTATTTAGTTCTGTGCTATGTAAAATTATAGAAAAAAAAGACAGGAGAGAGAAAGAAAAAAAAGTGGGGAGCAGACTGATTTAACTTGAACATTTGCTAAAATATTGTAAGCTAGAAGTCTAATTCACTTACATATACCATTAATAACCTTTCCCTTCCCCCTACTCATATAAAACTTTCTATAAAATGTTTAGGTCTAAAATATTTTCAAAGGAGAAAATGCTAATTTCTTTCTATAGAACAGTGTTTTTTTGCCCCTGAAGCCACACTTGAGGCTCTTGATTATCATGACTGGGACGGGGAGGCTGTTACTGGCACATAGCAGGTAGAGGATAGGGACATTGCTAAACACCCTGCAGTATACCACACAGTACCCCTCCACAACAAAAACTATCTCACCTAAAATGTCAATAGTACTGATGTTGAGAAACCCATCTAGAAACTAGGGAAGTGTATAGAAAATGTTTAAAGGTTTATTTTCATGCAATAACATTGCTTTTTTTTTAAGGATATTTCTAGAGTTATAGAAACGCTAGAATAAATAGAACTAGAATTGGACACCATGCCTGTAGGTGATTCCAAAGCATGTGCTTGTTCCACTAAACCACATTGCCTATCTGTTGAAGCTTAGCCTGAGGGTGGGATTGGATTGCAAGGCATAGGTTCTTCACTGCTACTTTTGAGATTGACTTTCTCATGAATGGGCTAAAGTATCAGTCTGAAAATTCTGTTCTGATTCCAGCTGTGCAAATAGTCATGTGCATCATTTTCTTTATCTGTAAAACATGGATTTAGACATGTTTATTATAAGGAATTTTGGCATTGGCACTTTGGGCATTAAAATCTTTTAGTTTAAATATATTTTATACATTCATATAATTAGTTCTGGTGTTTCCACATAAAATGGAATATTACTAAGAAATATGAAATGTTCTTATTTGACAGAGTATTTACCATTATGGAAATTAATTCTGTGAGAATCATTCTTTTTTCATATATATATAAAATTTATTTATTTATTGAGAGAGAGAGAGAGACAGAGAGAGAGTGTGCACAAACTGGGGAGGGGCAGCAGAGAGAGAGGGAGAGAGACTCTCAAGCAGGCTGCATGTTGTCAGTGCAGAGCCCAGCTGAGAGGGCTCGAACTCCTGAATTCTGAGATCAAGACCTGAGCCAAAATCAAGAGTTGGATGCTGAACTGACAGCCATCGAAGCATCCTGTGAGAATCATTCTTATTCTTCAGTTATGAGGACCAAAAGAGTTGTATCTGAAAGCAGTAAAGTGCTAAAAAATGAAACTCTGTGATTCTGTTTGTTACTGGTTTAGCATCTTACAAGTAAGCCAGTTTTACAGGTGGTATTCTATATATAATAATGACAGGTCTCTTAAACATTTGTTGATATGATTTTTTCATCCTTATTAAGATGACTGGACAGAGACATTTAAGTACTCATTATGATTTTATTGTATGTAATTTTATTATTTTTACTTAAATGACATTTGACAATGTGACATAAGAACATGTTACAGAAGAGTATACACTGAAAATTCCCTCTGACCCTTGTTTCTAATTTGGTCATTTCCTAACCCCCCCCCCCCCCCATAAGTAACCATTATCATTGACTATTTTCTTGTGTATCTAGATTTCATTTGTTTATGTATGTATAAGTAAAATGAGTGTGTGTTTTATTTCCCCATTCACTTTTTCCCTCCCTTAGTGAAATTTTGATTTTAGGAAAATCCACTGTTTGCATTAATCCAATTATTATTCTGAGACTATTAAAATTTATTTCAGTTTTGTAAATTTTGCTTAGGTTATACAGTCACATGATTCAAACACCAAAAATAGTGAAGAGAAGATATGTACTGAAAGACTTTATCTCTGTTTTTATGTACCAATTTCCGTCCCTCTAAGAAGTAACCACTGTTACTTGTTCTTGTGTGTTTTTAGTATATTTTATGTTCTTTGCTTCTGATGGACTACAATTTCTAATCCCAGAGACAAAATGACACCTTTATATAAAGGATTTATAGTTGAGCATAACATTATCCTTCCAAATTTTAAACAACTTATTTTACTAATATGGGAAATTATTTCTTTCCAGTTGCAGGAAGCCAAACAAATGGAAAAAGAAAGGCATCGGCAGCATCATCATCTGTTGCAGTCTCCAGTAAGCCATCATGAGCCTGAATCACCTCAACTTAGATATTTGCCACCTCAAACTGTTGATCATATGACCCAAGAACATGAAGGGGACCTTGATTCCCATACAAATGATGTGGATAAAAGCCTTCAGGATGACACAGAACCTGAAAATGGATCTGATATTTCCAGTGCAGAAAATGAACAGACTGAAGCTGATCAGGCAACTGCAGCTGAAAGTAATCTTTTTGAGAAGGGGTTGTGGGACATGTTAAGGGAGAGTGTAGGCATGCATGTTTGGGAAAGAAATGTGGAAAGGGTAATGTGATTTAATGGATAGCAGACACATGGTGGTTAGTTGTGGATGTTTTCCATCCTAGGTAGTGAATTTAATTGACTTCAAAATACAGGATATCTATTAATACTATGCATTCACTGGCATCTCATGAGCAGTACAATTTACAGACTTGTTTTGGAGAAGATACATGTTACTAAAGGGGGTCTTGAATGTTTGTTACCATGTCATATAGGAACTTCACTTTTCTTAAAAGTTTCACAACAAACAAAAGATCTGTTTATAAGATTTTCTGGAATGTGACTGCAAGTTTTAGGGCATCAATGTGTTACTGGTTCAGAAAATACTATTGTCTAAAAGTACTGAAATTAAGTATAAAAATAGAGTAACCACCTAACATACAAAAATATTTTTATATCCTGATGTATAGTAAGCCCTAAAATTGAGATGTTCTCTGATAGTATTTTTCTGAGTAAATTTATTTGTAAGAGAAAGGTTAGAAGGGGTACCTGGATGGCTCAGTCAATTGAGCATCCAACTCTTGATTTTGGCCCAGGTCATGATCTCCTGATTTGTGAGCTCTAGCCCTGTGTCAGGCTCCCTGATAAACTGCGAGCCTGCTTGACATCTCACTCCTCTCTACCAGCCCCCACCCCCCCCCCCCCCCCCCCCGCCCCAACTCATGTGCATTCTCGGTCTCTTAAAATAAGTATTTTTTAAAAAAGAAAAGGGTTGCAAGATTACAAAAATTAAATTACATTTATTTATTTTACTAATTTGTTTCTCTAAAAATAATCACATGAAGTCATTTTTTTTTTTTCCTCCCAGACATTATTTTCAGCTTTAGCTAGTTTATAAAACTGCTAGGGAGTTTTGTTGTTCCCTTTGTTTCTTATTAACTTCCATCAAAAAATGATGGAAATTCTGTTGCCTGTTTACTATGTTTGCATGGAAGTAGGATGGTTAGGTCTCAGTTACAGTTCATCTGAATTCTGTATTTTTCTTTGAGAAAGGACTTCTGTAATATATTTTCAGCCGTTGATTTTTTTCTACCACATCTTTTTTATAATGTAATAGTGGGATGAACATCAGCAGTGGCATGATTAGATGCCTTTTTAATGCTTTTAATAGTGCTTTACTCTTTATTTTAAAAGGGGTAACTTTGGGGTGCCTGGGTGACTTAGTTAAGCGTACAACTCTGGATTTCGGCTCAGGTCGTGATCTCGCGGTTTGTGAGATCAAGCCTCACATTGGTCACATATTAGTGACTGTATATTTAGTTTTGTTGAAACTAACTTTCAAACTCTAGATAATTTTAGGCAGCTAGAGGACAGAAATACAAAGCTTAAGGGTGGCAGAAAAATTATCTGTCAAAACATCTTATATGTTTTTACTCCACCGAAGAATCTTGTGTTATTACCGTATTTAGATTTTTTATAAAATAAGTGTACTGATTGGTATGCTTCTTTATCAGATATCCCCTTGTGGCATTCAGTATTCTGTAGAATGTAGCAAACAGTAGATTAGGAGCAGTGAACAATAGGGAGGACAGGTTTCTGGAGGGCAGTGTGAGTGGGGATGAGGGTGTTAGCAGCACTATCAGCTAATGTGCAGTCTGATGCTGTTTGGAGTAGGGCAGAACAGGGTCCTTGATCCCAAAGCGTCCGAAAATGTTAATTGAGCCTTCCTGAGGTATTTGCAACATTTCAAAACAACCAGTAGAAATCCTATTTTTATCTGCAAGCTAACTCTGGAATGTCAAGGTTTATCAGTTTCTCTTAAGCTGTTCAGAAGTTCTCTTGGGCATATATGTCTGTCTGTTTGTTAAATTGGAGAATTAATCCTTTTTTATTTATTAAATTTAGTTTTACATTGGGTATATAGATTGGTTTGGGGAAGAAACAGTAAGGAAGGGCTGGAATGCACTGTTGGAGGCCCACATGGCCCTGTCTCTTTGTCTTCAGAGACTTCACAAATACAAAGGCACATTATTGATAAACGGAATTGACCAATGCAGGCTTTAGTTACATTTAACATATTACTTGATAAGTATGTCAGACATGTTAGAAATCTTTCATTCAAAATACTTTAAATGTTTAGCTTCTGAAGGAATAATCTAGAAAATTTGCTTAAGTTGAATGATCATTTAATAGTTTGTCAAATGAATCATTTTTGAAATTGACTTAAATTTATAAAATATTGTAAATTTGGTATAGTTATGAATTCTGAATGTTTAACTTGTAATTAATTACTTCTAGTTTCATGTTATCCATTGGATTTTCTTTTATTCTTAATTGTTTAGCAAAGTTTTTAATTTTAAATGTTTGGTAAAAGTTTCCAAAAAATTCAAATAATGTTTTCTTGGATTTTTATTTTTTAAAGCATTATCTAAAAATGACATATTATATGATGGAGAAAACCATGACTGTGAGGAAAAGCCACAAGACATTGTACAGAGCATTGTAGAAGAAATGGTGAACATCGTTGTTGGAGGTAGTGTGTTTCACTCAAAATTAGTTTATTCTTTGATATTTCATCTAACTATGGAGACTATTTATATGTGGAACAAAAAGGGCAAATATATAAGCTCTTTCTCAAATTAGAGTGTGTGTATAGAAAAAATATTTAAATGTTTTTAATTATCAAAGAATTAACTCTCTCTTTTTCTCTAGGTTCGGTTACAGTCTTTTATAATAATCCGTTACTCCCCCTCCCCATTGAGAAAAAGTTGATGCCATTTCATTGCTTTGTTTTTGTGTTTTGATGGTAGAGATATATTCTTTATACTCCTAAATGCATGAAACTTGATAATGAAAATATTTAAATTGATTCAGTTTTGAGTATTTCATGTCTTTTTTTTGAAAAAAATTAGGCTTTCTTATACCTTTATTGTCACAACCAAGGTATAATTGATACAGGGGCAGGTCATATCTTATGGATATATCTTTGTAATACTATAAAGATGTTTTATTACAGTTTGTTAGGATTTTATCTCCCATTTTCCATAAATAGTATTATTTATAGATAGCATTAGATTTGAGACTAATCCACTGAAGCTTATTTAATTCATGGTATCTTGCCCAGGACTAAGCATAGAACCTTGCTACGTATACTTCTACATATATGATTAAATGTATGTACAGTATGGCTCTTGAATGAGAAGAATACTGTTTCAGCCATACTAACTCCCTTTTATATTACCATTCTTTCTAAGAATATCTTTTCTCCTTTAATGAAACACTAGAACCAGGCATTCATCTGATTGCCTTCTTGTTTTTTCATCTTTTCATTCAGCAAATACTAAGGAAGTACGTACAGTTGTGTGGCACTGTAGGAGGATACAAAAGTTAATCCAGGATAGACCATGCTCTGGAAGAAGGGGGTTCTGGAATGTATGTATGTAAGACTAATACAAGGTATAAAGTGATAAGTGCCGTTAGAAAGAAATAGCTAACATCCTATTAAAATTTTGTAAAAAGTGATTATTTCTAAAATGATCCGGGAGGACTTCATGTAGGTGATGACACTTGAACTTAGACTATATGGATTCACACAAGTTTGGGGAATGGTATTTAATGTATTGGAAACTCTGTTAGTTCAGATTTAGAGGAGAGGATGGTTTGGGAATCGGCAGGTGGTAGTTTGGCTGAAGTATAGAGTATGTGATGTCATACAATAGAAACTAAGGTTAAAGAGATTTTTTTTTTTAATGTTTATTTATTTTTGAGAGAGAGTGTGAGCTGGGCAGAGGGGCTGGGGGGAGGGGAGGTGCAGAGAGACAGGGAGACACAGAATCTGAGGCGGGCTCCAGGCTTTGAGCTGTTAGTGCAGAGCCCGATGCAGAGCTTGAACTCATAAACACCATGAGTTCATGACCTGAGCTCAAGTCAGATGCTCAACTGACTGAACCACCCAGGCGGTCCTCTTTGTTTTTTTTTAAGGGGGGCAGGGAAGAGAGGGAGAGGCAGAACTTTAAGTGGGCTCTGCGCTGTCAGCACATAGCCTGAGTGGGTGTGGGGCTCAAACTTGGAACCATGAGATCATGACCTGAGCTGAAATCAAGAGTTGGACACTTAACTGACTGAGCCACCCAGGCACCCCTAAGGTTAAAGAAATCTTAAGCTTACTAATTTAAAGTTTAGGATCTTAGACTTTATTCTATCACAAAATGAGTTACCATTATGAATTTTTTTAATTAATAGATGGAATGATTAGAATTATTCTGTTAGAAGAAGGAAGTGCGGAAGTAGAAAGTACAATAGGAGACCAGTGCTGTAATGGAATCCTCAGCAGGACAGAAACAGTGGAAATGAAGAAAATGTGAATGAGAAGTGAGATATCGAATGTTGAATCAAGTAGGCTTTGCAACTGGGGTGCCTGGGTGGCTCAAGTTGGTTACTTGTCCAACTGTTGATCTCAGCTCAGGTCATGATCTTATGGTTCGTGGGATTGAGCCCTGCGTCAGACTCTGCATTGACAGCGCAGAGCCTGCTTGGGATTCATTCGTTCATTCATTCAATCTCTGTCTCTGTCTCTGTCTCTCTCTCTCTCTCTCTCTCTCTCTTTTTCTCTTTCTCTGTCTTCCCCTCCCCTGCTGGCTCTCTCTCAATATAAATAAATAAACTTAAAAAAATCATTAAAAAAAAAAAGACCTTGCAACTGATTAAATACCTTGCTGAAAAAGAAATTATAAGGTATGTCAAAGACCCCAAGAATATCTCAAGGTTTTGTGATTTACTAGAGGGACTCATAGGACTCATCATATAATTATACTCACCACTAAAATTTTTACCATGTAACAGTACGATACAAAATCATCAGAGGGAAAAGACATGTGGGGCAATGTCTGAAGGAAATCAGGTGCATACTTCCAAGAGCCCTCTCCCTGTACAAGTCACACAGGAAGCGCTTAATTCCTCCACATCAGATTGTAGGTGTTGGCTACCAGAGTAGCTCATTAGACTAAGTGCCCAAAGTTTTGTTGGCACCCTCTACTTGCATGTACCCAAATTTCAGATTTCCAGAAGGAAAGCTGTATTTAGCATAAACCACATTATTTGTACAGTTTAGGCACAGTAAGCCACTCTTAACTAGTTCTGGGAATAGTGCAAACCCTTCCAAAATGTAGTTCCAGGTCCCAGCCAAGGACCAACCTTGCAAGCAGGCCTTTCTAAGGATAGGCAGTCTTGGGCCTGCTATGTTAACTCATCTCTGCTTTGGTGGTATCCCAGTTTCTGAGTCTAAATGGGTAGGTGGATGGTTGTGGAATTGGTAGAATTAAATTATGTTGGAGGAAAAGTTGGCTTGGGAGAAAAAATTACTAATTTTTTACTGCACCATCCATGTGGAAATTTTATGATACACATAATAGAAATCTAGAAATCTGGCCTAAGATATCAAGACAGGTGCTATAGATGGGAGTCATTTTGTTATAAGTTAGTAGTTAAAGCCATAAAATCATTGAATGGGCAAGTATAGAGACTAAACAAGAGGCCATGCTCCTGGGAAGTCTGAATTTAAAAACAAAAACCCTTGTAAACTTACAGTCAGGGAAGAAAGAGCATTATGTGCCCATGCATTCTTTAGAAGTTTAGTAATACATGTTAGGGGATGGCGAATTATGTCTCATGAGCTAAATTTAGCCCATTGCCTATTTTTGTAAATATTGCTTTTTTAGAACACATGCTTATTTATGTATTGCCTACAGTGGCTGTCTTTGCACCAGGGACCATATGGCCTGCAAAGCCTAAAATGTTTACTAACTGGCCCTTTGCAAAAAACTCTTTACCAGTCTTGAATACATATCAATACAGAGTGTGAAGTGAAATTTCTTTGATTTTTCTGCAACTTTTTACTTAGAACATTTTCATACCTAGAGAAAAATCCAAAGAACAGTGCAGTGAACACCTGTATGCCCTTTCTCTGGATTCACTAGTTGTTAAAAATTTTGATACATTCATTTTATGTGTGTTTAAATAGACCTACACACATACGTGTATGTAAATGTGTGTGTTTTGCTTGCCTTTGCTGAACCATTTAAAGATGGGTTATATATATCCTGATGCTTTACTCTGTTACTTCAGCATATCTTTTCTAAGAATAAAGGCATTCTCATACATAACCATAATTCGTTTTCACACCTAAGAAAATTAACACTATTTCAAGGATATCTAATATAAATACTACATTTTATAATGTTTCCAAATTCCCAAATCGTCTCTCTTATATCCTTTTTTTCCTTTTCCTTTTTAAGTACAGGGCCCAATCTGGGTACGCTCACTGCATTTGATTGTGTCTCTTTGGTCTCATTAGTTTAGAACAAGTTCTCTTGTCTTTCCCCCCATCTTTCATAACACTTACCTTTTGTTAAAGAGTATGAAATTGTCTTGTCGAATGTTACATATTTTGAGTTGATAGGGCAGTTTCCTGACTGCATAGGTAATGTTGGTACTTCTTATTACATCATGTTATGTTAATTGATAAATAACAAGTTACCCATATTAGTGATGATGTTTGATCACTTGGTTAATGATGAGCACTAGGTCTCTTCATTGTAAGGGAGCATTTTTCCCTTTATAACTATAGTTGACCATTCAATAATGAACTGCATGAGTGCACTATATGTGGATTTTTCCCCATAAATACAGTACTATGAATGTATTTTTCTTCTTCTTTTTTTAATGTTTATTTTTGAGAGAGAGGGAACAAGCAGGGGAGGGGCAGAGAGAGAGAGAGAGAGAAAGAGAGAGAGAAGATCCTAAGTGGGCTCTGCACTGACAGCACAGAGCCTGATGGAGGGCTTGAACTGACAAACCGTGAGATGATGACCTGAGCTGAAGTCAGACACTCAGCCAGGTACCCCATCTTTCTTTTTGAAGTGGGCTTCACACCCAGTGCGAGCCTTGAACTCACGACCCTGAGATCAAGACCTGAGCTGAGTTGAAGAGTCCAGCACCTACTCAGCCACCCAGGTGCCTTTGTATTTTCTCTTTCTTAATGATTTTCTTTATATTTTTTCTAGTTTACTTGATTGTAAGAATACAATATATAATACATGTAATATACAAAATATGTGTTTATCGACTGTTTATGTTATCAGTAAGACTTCTGGGCAACAGAGACTATTAGTAGTTAAGTTTTGTGAAGTCATAAGTTATATGTGGCTTTTTAACTATTTGAGGGGTCAGCACTCCTAATCCCTGTGTTGTTCAAGGGTCAACTGAAAGAAATAATTTGAGAGTGATAGGTTGAGGTCATATGAGGATCCATCCACTTAGTGGTTTTAGCATCCGTTGATGATCCTTGACTTCTTTAGATACTACATTGGTTGCCAAATAGTGATTTCATGATTCTAACATTAATTGACACTTTTCTATAGATAAGAGTGCTTCCCCTTAAAAAAAATAATACTGTGAACTCATGAATTCTTTTGTTATTCAGTGTATTATAATCATTTACCGTCATTATTCTTTGTTCCCGATTTGGCTAATAGG